TGAAAAGAAGCATTCATCTGAAAAATCCATTTTCCGCTGAGGCAAAGCATGGAGGGGAACTGTTTGGTCTATCTCACTGTCTTCAGAAAGTCAGTAGCGACTCAGGGCTGGCATGGCTGGGATGCAGCTCATTCGGCACCTGAACCTGAAGGCAGCGGCTCAGGAGTGCGGAGCGCACGTCGCCTGTTTGAATACGATGCAGGGAGAGCCCAGAGGCTGGGAAAGGCATTAGCAGGCTGGGCAGGTGCCTTGGAAAAACCAGCCCTTCAAAGGGTCATAGGGGAGCAGCCAGGCAACCACTGCAGAGGGAACTGGGGCTGAGAAAGGCAAACATATACAAAAAGGTCAGAAAAAACCTACAGAAATCCTGGCAGGAAAAATCTGAGAAAAAATGCCATTTTGTTTAAGGATGAGAAAGACCCTGTGAGGTGCAGAAGATTCAGTAGAATACAGTTACACCCCATCAGAGAAAGGAAGGAAACGACAGCGTAGAGGCACAGCCAAGACCAGGGCTCGCACGTCCGTATTACAGAAACGGCTCACCGTGAGTAGCTGGTGTCGTGCGTTATTGATTCAAGGAACGCAGGCTTGGGAAGGATCTCCTGGTGGCTGTAGGCAAGATGCTGGACACACAACAGCAGGACTTACACCTGAGCATTCGCTAGACCCATTTCAGTGCAAGGCCACAGTTTTCAAGTGGAGTCTTTTGTACTAAACTCTTAAACCTGAACCACAGTGGGCTCCTGGGGAAACTCAGATCAGTGGAAAATGTAGATGCCAGAAGACCAACTCACTTAAATCAGGTGTCGAACACGGATTAACAGCTTCTTCAGCATCCCCTTCCTTACAGTCATGGCTACGGTCTTCTACTTTGACTAGAAAGTACTGATGGATGCCAAGTCTGCGCCTGCAGAGGTGTAGGCATGACAGAGCTGAAGCATACTTCTTTCCAGCAGTTTCAAAATTAAAAAGAATAGAAACACAGTGCAGCGTTGCAAAACGAGGATACTGTTCTGGGTGCTGAAGGACTCTAACTTTCATCTTTAATTGATTTCAAAAAGAGCTAAGCATGTTTAGTACCTTGGTAGATGAGGACTCAGCAGACTAAGGTGGATAATTGGAGCAGCAGAAGTATCTGTCTGGGAAGCAATTTAATTTAAAAAAAAAAAAAAAAAGAAAGAAACAAAAAGGTCAAGCCTTTCCTCTGCTGTGCTGCATTTAATCTGCACACGTACAGAGGAATCCAGGCTCCAGGGTTTTTTTTTAGCTGGCACATTTCCCCGAACACGATAACATTTTTAACATTAGTGGATGACATTTCATAATATGTTTAAGGATCTGTAATATTTTATGCTTGTAGCTTTTTGTGATTGTTGTTCCAATATGGCATTGATGCCAGTATTAAAGTTTAATATGATTATAAAGCTCAACTGTATAACTGAGGGTTATACTCTTTATCTATTCTAATCTGATTAAAATGCTTCTCTTCAGTAGCTTTCTGCAATCGCTTTATAGCAAAACCTGGGAGCAAAGCCACCAGCAGTTTGGTTTGTCCCAGATCAAAAGAAATAGCAAGTTCCTTACGTGTGTATTTCATTACTTAACCTACAAAGATTGGTCCAAACTGCAAACCTAAGTCTATTTAGCTTTCGTAAAACTACTCTCTGAGAAGATTTGTGGAGTTGGTCGCTGACGGGAAGCCAATGGCCAGTGCTCGCTGCAAGGCTGTTACAGAGTTTCGACACATGCCTCCTTCAGCAGAAGTAGAAAGGCATTTTGGATCTTGCTGCCTAGTGCTGAGGTTGCTAGGCAATGAAGTAACTACAAGCAGCTAATGTCACTGCCGTATCTAAAACCCATCATAGCATTAAATTCATCATCGTAATTAAATTTTTTCCACTGCTTATGATACCACCTCCCTTATGTGAAGTATCTACTCTAGTCTAGTGGTAAACTAGTTAATGCAACAGAACACATCCAACTCTAATTTCTGTTGTCATTTGGTGCTCATATCCACATAATTTATTATGAATCTGAAGGCACAGTACATAAAACGTACTGCAGTCAGAGAACGTGATTAGCCCATGTACAGGAAAAAGCATGAAGAGGTCTGCTTTACTAAAACTAATGCCCTGTAGACAACTGCTCCTCTTAAGATTTCCAACGCTAGCATGGCAGAAAAGCTGTGTATAGCCAAATATACCTGCTGAAATAGTGATGCTTTTACACCACACTTTTGCGGCAAACCAGAACTGCTGGATGAACCCCCTAAACAGCAGAGGTTTTTCTGTGGGCTACATTTTGCACATCCGTAGTGTTAGGCAAATCTAAGATCAGATTTAGAGTGTAAACAAATACTTAAGCTTCTGATTTGTTTACATGAAACCTCACGCCTATGTCTTAAAAGGCAACAATAGCTGCTTTGCAGACTGCCTCTCTAAAGATAGCCAAGACTGAATTATCTATACGGCCATGACTGCTGACTTGAGCGTACACAAAGTGGGTTTTTGCCCTTGCAGCAGACTAAAGGGGCAAAATCAAAGGGACCTTGCTTCCACTGCCTGTTCTGCCTAACCCAGAGCCTTGGAAAGCCGCGGGGGGCTGCTGCTGCTGCTGCTGCCAAGGCAGGGGCAGGGAGCAGAGCTCGAGGAGTTCAGCATAGCTGCTACTGCTCGGGAAGGAGGGCGAAGGGGGGCAGCCCCTTCCAGATGCAACATCTGCCCCCAGCTATTGAGGCACAGAACAGGCTCTCCTCTTACCTCTCTTGCCCAATTCCTTGTCCCTCCTGTGATGGGAGTGGCTGGCTCTCACACCTACTTGGGCAAAATCAACTTTGCTTCCCCTGCTGAGGAGCTTGCTGGTTCTGCTTGCCCAAACTTGCAACTCAGACTCCTCCAGACAGCTGTTGCTAGCACAATTTAAAAACAAAAGCAACCCCCCCAAACGCAAACTCATTCTTTCCCTTCCTAAAACATGCTTTTGGCACAATAAACTCCATGGCTGTTGCCCAGCATGCTGCGCCAGCTTTGCTAAGACTCTCAGACCTTTTTGATTTGTGAGTTATCTGAAGTTTTCCGAGTCAGTCTACAGAACTGAGTTAATCGGTCGCATCACACACAATGCAACATTAGCATGTGTGCAGTACCTGTATGGTGCTGCTAATATTTCGGGGACCCATGCATGCAATATGACAACAAAGAGAAGGGCAGCATCAGCATTTAGCTAAAATTAAGCTTTCTTGCCCACATACACTTTTTGGGATTGCCATAGAAGCATGAAGTTGGTCTAAAGCCTTCCCCATACTCCTGGGAACAGAGTAACAAACGTCAGAGAAATCTAAGAATTGTTCCTTTACTAGCTGGACATAAATCACATCAGGTGTAACAAGGCCATTGCAGATCATTTCCTGTCTCTCTCTCACAAACACCCTTTACCTTTGTGTCAGTGGAGGTCCATTCTTTTAGCTTTCAGGCAAACCTTCCTGTCTATGTGTGAAAACTGGGATGAAGATACTCACTGACCTCAATTACATCATCATCTCAGGCTATGCAACGTCTGTGTCATTAAACATTGCAATGCAGTAGTCACGTGGCCTTAACTCCATGGTTGCTATCACTGCTGCTCGGCCTGGCATATCTGTTCTTTTAACTCATCAGGATCTTGCACGTTACATCCCTAACAAATCTTCAAGATCACCTAAAATTGCCTCAGAAGTAAACGGTCAAGTTTCTTAACCGAATGAAACTTGCCTCGCTCCCAGTATTATTTTTGTCACAGGGCATCTGAGAATCAGGTTTAGATTTTCATTTTAACTGCCCCCAAAGAATTAGGGGATTTGCAATGAGAATCTCAAGTTCTTTTGTAGTAGCGAATTTTCCTCCCTTCCGTTGCTCCTGACTCTAAATAGGAAGTTTAGAGCAGCCAATGAAATAACAAGTCTCCAGATTTTGCTTCATTGTCATGCCGTGAAGCAGAATAAACTATTTTATATTCTTCACTGAGGATCCACGTGGTTGTTTGGGGAAGCCGTTCCTCCCATGAAGATACAGCATACAGACGATTAGGTCCACACCACCTCACAAGACAGATCTGTGCACATCCAGCTGCAGCAACAGAATCATTAATCTGTCAGTAAATCAAAATGCTCACAGTTTGGCTCTTACGTTACAGGAAGTACAAGAGCTAATAACCTACTGGCAAGCACTGCAGGTTTTCTGTGCGTTTTTATATGTAAGCATGTATTGCTTTAAAGGAACTCGCCTATTCTTAACCCACTAACTGCTGTAAAAATAAGAATCTAGGCTCTGGGCAACATGAGTAGTAAGATCATTAAGAAATTACTTTCAGATTCACTCTAGCTAGCAGACATCTAAAGATAAATTTGAGCATAAATTTGTAAGACTTGGTTGCCTGCAGGAGATGGAGATGGTAGCTGCTTACCAGGAGGCTCAAATTTCAGTTCTGTGTTCTTATAAAACTGACTTTTCCAGAAAGACTGTGTCCTTGCATCAAATCTATGCTGTGAAAGCATCCTCAATTTGATCAGTACCAGCTGGCATTGAAGGGAAAAGAGGAAACATTCCTTGCGGTAAAGTACCATAAGGCATAGCTTTTACCTCCTCTTTAGAAGCATGTTATTTCTCACTGATGGAATTACTAGTTAAACAGTTGATATGTTACTCTGGCCTTATGAAAATGCTCTCAGACTCTTTTAGTAAATTCACTAACTGTAATTTGTGATAAATCACAGGAAAAAAAAATCTTTAAACTCGGTCTGCGTTTACCTACACAGATCTTTTGTACAGAGTGAGACAATACTTTAAGTTATTACAATGAGTAGAATGAATTTTTATTTTCATTCATCCTTCATTAATACCACACATTTAGATAGCAATATCTGGAAAAAAAAAATCTTGGAATAATTTAAAATAGAAGGCACAGAAAACCAAACCAAACTATGTGGCGACAAGACAATGGGGGAAAATGGCTCAGGAAGGGAATTCATTCAGAACAAGCTTTTATCTCTGGACATTCTGACCAAAAGCCACAGCACACCGAAACAAAATAGCACAGTTCAAGCTAACCCATGCTTTCGTTACATACACATACATATAAAAGAAAAATTAGAAAAATCTGATTTTTGTAGGGTTTTGAATTAAATGTTACTTTTAAAATAAAAAATGTTAAGTCCAATACATATGTCAAAATCTTCCCTAAAGACTATACTAAGACGTACTTTACAAAAAATTCGCATTAAAAGCAAAGAATACAGTTAAACGGCATTTTTAGATGGAAGGAAACGACTCAAATCAATTAATGTATCAAATAATTTTGGCGTTTGCTTCAAAAACAAAGATTTTCAATACAGTAATATACTGTACAGGACATTCTTTTGTATTTTAATATTATGAAATTAAATTGATATCATACATTACAGAGAGAAATAAAACCACTTCGTTCATATGAGATTTGCATACTTTTTTGAAAAAGAATAACTTTATTTCTTTTACAAAAAAACCCCTACTGGAATTAATGACATGCGATAATATGCCCCAATATTATAACTGCTAAGTTTGAAAATAAAGTTCATGCTTCACAATTGAAATACGTTGTGATTCTTAAATACATTATCTGGTAATTAATAATACAATATAGGGTCATTCATAAAATCAGTTCAGGTTGTGAACCTGGTTTATAAATGAAGCTCTTTTTCAAATATGCTGAACACTAACAACACACAGATTTTGCTCCAGGTCAACGAATCAGTTCGTGTGCCATCTTCCCCCTTCTCCCCCCCTTTTTTATTTATTTTTTTACCAAATGGGTAATTAGCCTGAAAATATCATGGAAAGGCAAAGTCTAAAAGTTACAGGTTTTATTTTAAAAATACTAAATACAATCAAAGATAAATAGCATTATTCTTACTGACAGCTTAATAGCAGGTACTCTCTAAAGGAAAAAAAAAATCCTGAAATGCAAAACAGACAGTTTCAGCATTTTATATCAAGGCATTTGCACATTTGCCAGGAGGAGACAGAATAAGAATGAACTTTGCAGCTTACTTTGCAGTTGGACTCAAGTGAAAAGAGCCTTTCTCCTAGCCTGCCCACCTGTAAACCGTAATGCATGCTTTCTTAATACCTTGCTTTTTTTCTGTAAATAATTCTTTCATTTACAAAGTACAAGTCAAAGCATTGTTTCCGCACATGAATAAAGACAGTTGACAACTACAATATAAACTGTAAAAATGATTTTAGTAAAAACGTCCATCAAAATTGTCTGACATAGCAAAACATTCATTTGTAAAGTCAAGTCTAATACTGCAAGCCATTCACTCAAAGGTGACCTCGGGCACGCGTATTCCTGCCAGCGTCGCAACAGTAATTACTTCCACATTTCTTTTCACTATAGGACACAAACTCCGTAATATATTAAAGTTTCCTAACAAAGAGTCCAATTATTGCATGTTATAAAAATTCCAGTAATATCAGGCTTTTGTCCTACTTTTCTATGAACACTGATGCCTTGGCAAGAAAAATCATGGGGATCAAATGATTTCTTACGAGTAAACATGGGTTTGTTGAATGAGTCTAAAATACTGATTCAAAACTGGATTGGCTTAAAAAAATGAAAAGGCCTACCTTTGGAAACTGATTTCGAGTCATAGCAGCAGATAGATGCGTCACTGCGTCACTGACACATTCTCTTCTCAGTGAGGAATGGGCACATGGCTATTATATTTATATAATACGTGTAATTTTGGACTGCTCAGAAAAATCAGAAGCATCACTAAGCTCTTCTCCTGGCTCTACAAAGAATATTATCTGACTGAGAAAGCTCAACGACAGCCGTAAAGGAATGGGAGTTTTTATGTGTGAGCATGCGTGTATTTGCATTTGTACCAGCAATGAACATAGCATACTTGGTAGAAATGGCTATTTTAGGATGGAAAGATACATACAGTGAGTCTGAGAGGCTCATAAGAAAATAAGGAAAACAAAGAAAAAAGTCAATGCAGCAGTTTTGGCCCTGCTTATAACCAGCTGTATATCAACAGGAGAAAAAAAAAGATAAACGAGATTTTTGTGCCAGCTATCTAGAAAAAGAAGCTGCTTGAACCAAAGTGATTTCACAAATCTAAATGAGGCTTCCAGGCCAGCAAATCACGGTTAAAGTTACTTTGTTCCTCTGCTCCTTCAGCATTGGAACGAGTGCAGAATGGCTCATTCCAACTGTTGACAGTCCATTTACAGCAACAATCATATCACCACACCTAAAAAACACAAGAAGAAAACCAAATGAAGACGACCCACGACTATCTCTGGGGTAATAAGTTTCCATCAGGTTTGAAGCGGAGCTAACAAAAAAAAAAAAAAAACACCCAAAACCCACCAAAAAGGGTTCAATTTTTAGCCTGTCTTCCTATTAAGGCTTGGAATTCTTGAATCACTGGATTTCAATCCTAATATAAAAATAGTTCTGCATTAAGAGCAGGCTTAGGAAAATGAGAGAAGGGATAGCTGGAAAGATCTAATGTAGTAAAAACAAGATAATGACATAGCACGTGTATGACAGAAGCATTTATGTTTATGTTTGTGTGAATTATAACACGTTTACACTAATCACGCCTCTACTGTAGGAGGTGCAAGCAAATGATGTTTATGGTTACCAGCTAGATTCCAATACAGAATCTTGTTTTCAGCAGCTTAGGATTTGGTCAAATATAACTATTTGGCTGGAAATCTCCCACAGTAGATGGTTCAACTGAGAAGCTGTAGTGTCTCCACACTTTGAATCGGGGAATAGGAATTTGTGAGGCTGCTGTTTCCTGGCTTTGAGAAAATTTGCCTCAAGGGATTAAATTTCAGTTTTTATAAGCTCAGGGGAGATTTAAAAAAAAAAAAAAGTACCTACATTCTTTCTGTGTTAAGTAATTTTTCGTCTCAGACATCTCCTCGCTGTGACTTGACTGTGTTTAGCATCCCCTAGAGCACTAAAATGCAGCTCTGGAGACTAAATATGACTTTCCCTGAAAACAACTCTTTCAGCTACTGGGGACACTAAAACGAAGGGCAAAAAGATGTTCTCCTGAGCTCTCAACACGCACCACTAGGACAGAGCAGCGGAAGAGAAAGCAGTGTGACCAACACTCAGAGTGCTGAGGAACTGTAAAGACGGAGAAAATAGGTGTCTTGATTCAGAAAAGCTTGACTTTTTGAAGTCGAATGATCTTCTGGTAGATATTTCCTAAAATAAACCTAAAGCTAGTAAGAGTAGTAACTCATTTACATCCATATACACTTAAGAGCTAGAGTTCTGACACATGCATTCCTCTAAGACCTGGAGCATCAGCACACTGTCAAATTAAGTACATCCCATTATTAGGAATAAGAAACACGGAGCTGTAAATTAGGCTTGGCAAAAGCATGCAGCAAACAGTGTATCTGTCTAAAGCAACTTTGCTGTAGGTACAGGCATGCACAACCATCGCAATTCTGTACTCACTGAAGCCAGCTAGTCTCCCTAGGCTTTTTACACAGAGCGCGGAGAGTGGAGAGGCTCAGAGCAGCCTAACTTAAACTCCCTCAGGAAATAACTCAGAGAAATTCTCTTTCTATCAGAGCCAGCAGAAGCCTGCAGTAAGTAACTGGCTAGTTTGGTCCCTAAAGTTAGATGGTGTGAATGTAACTTGTTCTTTCTCGTGGTATTAGTAATACAAAGTTAGAAAGATCTATTTAGACCAGAAGTTTAGAAACCAGTGTCACAACCCCAGAAATACCAACAGAATGGAAGTGGCTTTGGCAACGAGTATAACAGAAATGTTTCAAATCCGCTTCAGAAACAGACAGTCTCAGCACAGTAAAATAACACATCTTAATGCTCTGAAATCAATATTACGCCACACAGAGGGGAGTGATTTTGGCATTTCAACATTTTGATTTTTAGAATACACACACAGAGGCAGCAAGTTAGCAAAAGCGGCTGTCCTTGAAATCCAGTCTAACTGTTAGTATAATCACCTGGAATCAACCAAACATGCATTCAAAAGCCCTTCTCTGCCTGAACGAAGGCATCTCATCACCCAAGAAAGGACTCAAACCACAATGCTACAGTTCATGGAGCGGGGTCTCACTCACTCAACCTTTCTGCTGAAGTCATTTCACCTTCTATAAAACCCTATCAGAAAGATACTGCAGGTAGAAAAACATCTAACTCTTAGACTGTGAGATTATTTTCTCCCTTTCTCTCTAGTCCAACAAAATACTTAAATAATTTAAACGGCATTGGAACAGCTTCAAAAAGTCCTGCCCCACAAGAACTCATGCAAGAACTCATGGAGCAGGAGCTAAGGAACCCTCCCTTGTAGATGGGAGAAACCCGTTTTTAAGTCCATATTCTCAATGGGACACAGTAGATTTGAATAGAGGGCATTATAATCACAGAATAGTATCTTGGCTGTGTGTCACAAGGGGGCTTTCCTTCTTCTTAAGAAGAAAACTAAAATTTCCACTTGCGTTAAGACCTCCCGTTATTAAATCTCCAGGCTGAAATTATTTGCTTTAGGTTGAACTAAAATCTTTCATTTAATTCAAACTATTTCATACTTAGCCAAAAAAAAAAAGCAATTTTTTGTCCAGCCAAACCATTTTTTCATTTATTTATTTAGTCATTGAACTGGAAAATCAATTACTGGCAAGGCTTAAGGCATAAGCATAGCTTTTTCTTAAGTTACTTTTCAAGTAGATCTACATGTAAAAATCACACCATAAAACTTCAACTCATATAATATTCCTAAACTCAGGCCATATTCTTTACTCCCACCTTCACAAAAAACAGTTTATGAACAAGAGAAACTTTAATAGGAATTGTAAGTCCTAATTCTGAAGTGATCCTAAATAAGTCTAAGATGAGTATACGCATACTAGACCTAGAGATCGCATCACATATAATAGACAAGCAGAGTAGTAAAACCATTCAGGTTGGAAGGAACCTCAGGAGGTCTCTAGTTCAACCTCCTGCTCACAGGAAGGTCAGCAATGAGATCTGAGCAGGTTGCTCAGGGCTTGATCCAGTTGGGTCTTGAAAACCTCACAAAGACCGCACAAGCTCCTTGGGCAACCTGTGCTAACCCCTGGGTGACCTCACAGGGAAAAAGTTTCTCCTCATACTCACTCCGAACCTCTCATTTGACCTGTTCCTGTTGTCCCTTATTCCCGCACCATGCACTGCTGGGGAGAGCCTGGCTCTGCCATCTCAATATCCTCCCTGCTGGTACATGGGGGCTGCTGTCAAGTGCTTCAAGCCATCTCTGCTCCAGGCTGGACAAGCCTAGTTCTCCCAGCCTCTCCTCACAGGGCAAGCGTCCCAGCCCCGACCAACTCAACAGTCTCTGAATTCACCCATTTATCGATGTCCTTCCCACCTACTAATAACTCTCGGGGTGGGGATGGCTTTTCCTTAGCAATCTTTTCAGAGGTACTGACTTTTCCACCTATTTGTGCACCTTTCTATTAATGCTGCAGCACCCATCTTTAATACCAGAGTTCTCAGCAGGGGTTTCAGAAGGCTTCATGAAAGAATGCTAGCAGTTATCCCCATTTTACATAAAGAAGTTCTTTCTATATTTTTAGCTATTCTCTAGGAAGACAAAAATATTTCAGAACTAGCCAGTCCTGGACGTACACATTTTTGCAATGTCTTATGGCAGAACTCTTTAACTCCAAGAAGAGTTAAAGAACCAAAAGAGATGGAAACAGCAGGTGACATCAGCACTGCATTTGGGGAAGAGGATAGGAGATGGCAAACGTGCTAGCGCAAGAACCAATTCTCTGACAAACACTTTTCGCCAGCAGAAACCCCCCTTGCTTCCCTGCATCACACTCAATAGAGAGGCAAAGCACTAGTGAGTTGCATGTGCACCTTAGCGCCTAGATGCAACCAGGTGCTACAGCGTTTATCATTAAGCAATTAATTGCACCAGCACATACCTATTGAAAAGAGTATTATTATTGTTAGTTTAGCTTACTTTAATCTTCCATCAAAGTATGCTGGTGTTCCAAGAACAATCGTTTTAATGAAGAACGGCTGGTTTGTGTGGTTCTCCTCATAGCCACCGACAATGCTGAAACCCCAGCTTCCTAAATTGCTCCGCCGCAGCACTACATCGTGGCAGCTATGTAGGCAGCTGTGGAATGGAAGCAGAGGATGGAAAGAGAAAAAGCTATGTACACCGCATACAGATTTTTTTTTTTTTAATTAGGCAGAACACCTCATCATTACCACTGTGATAAACATGGAAGAGGAGGGGAGGGATGGTGATTAGTATTCCATTCCCGGATAGCGCAATTTTGCAATATTCAAACTCATTACGAAAAAAAACCCAGACTCTTGAGACAGAAACCTATTTTAAAAGAAATAATGCAATGCTAGGCAATTACTTAAATACAGTTAACTCTGTAAACTGATAGTAATAAAATCGTATTGTAGTGATTTTACAGGTGGCAAAACTGTGGGTGGGAAAAGGATATCCATGTGTTTAGTATGCAAGTCAAAAATGCAGTGTGTGTTTTTTTGGCCACTCCTAGCCAGTTTAGGCTCTTTCCGCTTTAAGTGAAGATCTCAAAAACGCAGGTGTTGTCTTGTCTCTGAACTGCATCACTTGTAATAAAAATATTATAAATGATTAATAATAATTATAATAACTGATAATTATATACTGGAGATATTCAAAAGCCGTCTGGATGTGATCCTGGGCAATATGCTCTAGGTGACCCTGCTTGAGCAGGGAGGTTGGACTAGATGATCTCCAGAGGTCCCTTCCAACCTAAACGATTCTGTGATTCTGTGATTAACCATTTTGTGATGTAGAATGTAAAGAATCCAGATAATGTTCCATGAACAGTACCGGCATATGTGTTGTCTTCCTCAGCAAAAATTAATTCTTGCCAATGAAGTAGAGACAGTAATTTAAAAAAATGAACTTGGAAATTAACTTCTGGGGGAAAAAAAAAAAAGATGCCAAGTTCTTTACTGATCCACAATACTCTTTAAAGGATAGCAGCACAGTGCATAAGATACACCTAAAGGAGCAACACATCGTCATACAAGTATAATAAGCAATAAACTGCTGCCAAGGCATGGAAAGCAGATTCATTTACCAAAGCTGAGGGCTATTTATTGAGATTATGTATCTAATTAATATTTGAATGGAAGACTATATCATACAAATATTTTGACAGAAAAATTCAGAAAATAGATGAAAAAGAGTGAAATCTGTGGAGGGTCAACACATCGTTCTGTTATCTTCAGACTGTACTCTCCTACCAATACGCTTGGTTCCTGTTGTTTGATGCTTAAACTACAGGCCTGAGCGTGGCAATGCTGTCAAAGGCAGAGGAATTAACCTGTGCAGTCTGACTGAAGTTAACATTATTCACTGTAGTAGAAGCTCTTCTTGATAGTAAGCATTCCCAGAATGAGTTAGAGACATAAGAGAATGAAAAACAGAACAGTAAAAATGAAACATGGTGATGTCAAGCAGACCGCAAATTAGGAAAACGGAGAGAGCTTGCTGCAAATCTGAAAAGGGTTTTTGTGTTTGGCAGAGATGGTAGTGTGTTCTTGGAAAAAATACACAAGGATTTGTAACTTCAGGCTTGTATGTCTGCAAAAGAGCCGTGTAAAAACCTAGACTGGAACGTCTGATACAACATTCTAAAGTTATTTATTTGGCCTTGTAAATTTAAGTAGTGGATCAACACAGAGAAACTTGGGTAAATATATATATATATTTTTAAACAACCTCTGTCTGGTTTTAAAATATTCTACTGGAAGGTATGATATGGTTAAGGGACAGAACAGATAACTTGTGTTCAATGAGAAGAATCCACTTGAGTAGTTAATACAGTCTATGAATGGATAAACAAAAATCTATCCATCTTCTAGTTCGCTAAGAATATACTGCTCCTCTTCACAATCCTCTTTGTAAGCACACTGCAGACTGAATGTAGCTGACATGGATGGTCAGACAGAAATAAGGGTAGACATGCTGCAAATAACACTGCCCTTTCTTTTCTATCTCTCTCAGACTTAGCTTAAAACAGGTATTCGGTACCTTGGAAGTCCCAGCCACATGACCCAGGATGGTGACCAACTGGCATCATATTCATTTTCACTGATAGTATTCAACTGTTCTTCATTAGATTGGGGTTGCTCTTCTACAACCTGGACTTCCAGTGCTTTCAGGGCAACTACTGATGAAGCCGCACTGGCTTTCAGCATGGCTACCGCCTCACTGTGACTTAAGTTAGTCAAATCAATGCCGTTGATATTCAGCAACACATCACCTGTTTAAAGGCACAAGTAAGAACACGTTAGCCTGTCAGAATCATTCTGCATACGGCTCCTCGCTCACCAGGGTTTCATTTAATAAAGTGTTTTTTGGAGCTGAGACCATCTGAACTACCAACTTTGGCATATGAATAGCAACAGGTTAACCCTGAAGCCTTATATGGTCAGTTTAAAATATTAACATATTAAACTAGATCTCTTGTTTATTTCAGCAAAACACATCAAACACTGTGACTTCTATGGTAATGTCGCCCTGAAAATTTGATACAGAAATTACCTAAGCACATCACACATCTCTTGCTACTGCAGGTGCCATTACAGAATTCTTCCCAATGGTATATCTTAGGTCCGCTCTATCTTTAAAAGGGAAGGAAGAATGATGAAAAGAACAATATAGGCACCACAAAGTAACTAAATCTGGTAGATAACTGAGGCTTCACAGAGTGTTTCAGGTCTCCTGCTTTTTTGAACCTGTTATTCGAGAGCACAAAAAGAAAATCAAGGGCTAATCAAGGGCTACTGGAAGGGTTACTAAAAAAAAAAAAAATCCGCTATAAGGAAGAAAGAACATCTACACAAAGATAATAATCTGGAAAGAGTCCAAGACACTAAAAAAATTACCGTAAATTTTATTTTATTTCAGAATATTTTTAAAAAGTGTAAAAACAAGAATGTTGTTTGTTGTCCAAGCGGTAACAGTCTTCTCCTTCACACGGTGTCTCACATACCGACAAAAGCCACCAAACGCAAAGCAAAAGTGAGAACATTCAGTTCATGTTTGGAAAGAGACTGTCTTTCAATCTTTTAAAAGCTTCCGACTCCCAAGGAAAGCTGCAGTTGAGGCAGCAGCTTAACTTGAAATCGCTTTTGTTTTTGCTATGGCTACTTTAATGTCACACACGTACTTTAATGTCATTGCCGTATGAAACAGCAATTGCAGTACTTCCATCAAGTGTATTTTTCAAAGAAGTTCAGAAAAAGAAAGGATAAACACTGATGTGTGGTTGTAAAAGTCCCTATCTCAGAAGCATGTAACGAGGATCCCCTACTGTTCCTTTTAAATTTGCACTTTGTGACCTTTTTTTCCTAAAATTCTTGCTTAAGATAGCCTGAAATTCTGTGAACTCTGAATCACAGAGATCCCACATGCAGTTGCACCACACATCTTTGTTTCACACACAGCACAATATGTTTTTGTCTTTGTGTGCTTTACCAATGATCAGTCAGGACTGTCTTTATCCACACCGAGTCTAATCTCTCCCACCTAGCCCCCCTGTGCCCTTCCCGAAAGCCCAGGAACACAGACGGGTGCTGCAGCACATACGAAGACCAGCAAGCCCAAGCTGTGCCAGGCAAAGGACGAGAAAGCTTTCAGGAACTAGGTGATTTACTGCAGAAGCTCTGGGTGTGACTGCTCAGGTGAGCTGCTATTCGGGCAGGAACAGCTCGGCTGTGCAGCCCATACACTGGGGAGCAGAGGTTCCTCAGACACAGCTGGGGCCCAGCCCACCAAATCAAGCATGAAAACAGGACGTGCGTGCTGCAGCGCAAAGCCTCACACCAGACCCGTCGCTCAGGCGGATTACAGTCAGCTTTAAAGAATTTAGGCAGACGTTTCCTGGTCTCATCCGCTTCCCTTATCATTCTCTAAACATCCCTTTCCTAGGCAAGGGGAAGTGGGATACTACATACCGTATTTCCATTATTGAAACACGAAGAGAAACATCTATGACTGCTTTGCTACCTCTGTTAAAGGACTTTATGACACCACTCGCTTTCAGAGAATAAATTCATCAAAAAGCAATCGGAAGCCACCCGGCCACCAAGAAACCGGAGCCCTACCTCGTTTAATCCTGCCATCTCTTGCCAAACACCCATGAGGTTGCACACTTGTAACGAAGATGGGCAGTTCACCACTTTTGCTGCCTCTGCCTCCTGCCACTGTCATTCCAAGAGATTCGTGGGGCTCTTTTTTCACAGTAATGTGCTTTTCTTGGCATGTAACACACTGGGAGAGATCCTGTTTGACAGGGATAAATCACGTTGTTAAAACTTAACAAAACAAAACAAAACCAAAACACAACTAAATACACCCTAAAGCTGTATTTTGGCACTTTAACAGATTGGTTTAAAAGGATTAAGTCCATACAGCAAATTGACTTCAACTGGATTTCCTCCAGTTCAGGAAAAAGAAAAAAAGCCACTCACGTAGATACTTAAAAATAGCAGGAAGTTTATGAAGGCCCATCCTGAAAATCTCACTCTTAGTTCTTCTTAGTTTCTCTTAGTTCCTCCATTGGAATACACTAAATTTTATAATTAGTTTTACATAAATCCGTATGCTCAAAAGACTAGATAAAAAACAGAAATACATCTTTTGAAGTTTGGTGAACGTCAGCACTACCTCGTTTGTAAGTTGAATATGACCCAAAACTACAAAGAAGATCCAAAAGGAATGAAAACATGTGTGCTTTCATGATCACAAAGAAATGTTTAAAGCCCTCATATGCTTTTTTTTTTTTTTTGTTTTCTTTTCTAGCTGATATGTAGAATCCCTCAGAGCACAAAGCGGCTAAGGGCACTCAATGCTATAGGCTGTTAATGGATGTCCAGGCTCCCTAACGATTTTAATGATGACTCAAACCTGCAGCAAGAAGAGAATACTGTATTTCATTTTCTAACACCTAAATTGTAAAGTTCAGCCCCTATTTTGTTCTGCATCATCAAAAGGATTTAAACCTGAATCACAAGATATTTATTCACCTCAAGTCTCTCCTCTTCGGGATATTTAGTGATGCATTCAAACCACTGAACGTTCACCTGTAGTAACATCTTAAATCAACAGAAGACTTGGAAGGAATTCAAAATAACAGAAGAAAGAAAGAACTCAGAGGATTCTTCCAACTACAAATACTTCTATATAATACCCTACCATTTCTTGGAAAATGGAAACTGCTTTATTCCATCTCCAGCACCACAGGCTACTTCTGATTTAGTCTGCTCCCTGCATATACATGTCAATCACATACATAGCTGTACATACATCTCATAGCTTACAAATACACTTCCTTTTTAATTCTTCAGGCCTTAGCACTAACTGGCTAATGCCATGCAATTACATACATATTTTGTAAGTCAACAGACTTCTAAAGCAACTGTAGGTTACTCTAATGTAATCTAAGATAAATTATACGAAACAAAGGAATAGGCTAGCACAGATATCACTGGTGGTTACATGAGACTTACTACTTAGAAAGAGCCCACAGAAGATATTGATATGCTACAGAAAACTCCTCAGCCAATGAATCAACTTTGGAAGCGTGATCTGAATACAACATATACTGGCAGATGGAAAGTGGGCTCAGGCCCTGCGTTACCCTGATATAGATGAACCATAATTAGTTTTGTGTTGGTATGTCCTAACGCCATGGCACGTACTAACGGCACGTGACCAATCAAGGTGTTCAAGGAGCCTCATCTTTGGCCCTCAGGAGCAAAACAAGCTTCCCGACTTTCTCACTGGAGCCTCTCTTGTTCTTTTCTGACATTATCCAAACACTTAAAGGAAAATACTATCAACACATGTAAACGCTCCCAATAAAACTATGATATTAAACAGTGATACAAAGAGAGTGGATAGGAGGAAAAGGTGGCTTGGTCAACACAGATCAACATGACAATTATTTCACAAAGCCTGAACAGTGAGAAGCTGTATTTTTCTAACTATAAGAACAGCTGAAGCACAGGTTTTATTTCTGCAGGTCTTCTCGATAATTTGACACTAGGTTTGTGGAAGCCTCTTCATTCTGCCTTTCTTTCCCAGCTGGACTCTGCAGAACTCCGTAGCCTTGCAGCCAGCTCTGCTAGCGCATGGAGAAGATCCACACAATCCTCCTATGTGATCTTTATACACTGGACGGTGTATGCCATATCTCCTGTCCCTGCTGGTTGCAGCTGGCACAGTGGCAGAAAAAAGAACACTCTTGAATGAGAGGCCTCCCACGTGGCAGTAACACATTGACTGCTATCTCATACAAGGCCTTACAGTTACAGCTGCATGAGTTCAGAAAACTTGCTTTTGTCACTGCATTCAGAAATTCCAAAAAATACTGAAATGCTGCTGCGTATCTTTCGTTCCCACTCCTGACATGAGGCAGGACTTGGGTACTTGAAATCTTCTAAGTTGAAAATAAAAGATATAACCCTTTCTGCTAATCTGGTCTTCTTACACACTTAGACCATCACATGGCCACACCTGCATTTACATCTCTCTCAGAAAGGGAAATACCAACCTTGTGTGAGTTGGGTCTGCTGTGAAACAGCTGCTGGGTCTGATGCTGGTGTGGGTTGCTGTTATGAGTCCCTGTGTCTCGGATAATACTGACCATCTGTGACTTCACGGGTCTAGAGATGACTAAATTCACTCTCTCCCCACTAGCCTGTGGAATATATAAAATAAAATAATGAAGTCGCTATGATATTGATTATTAGCCAAGGGGAGGGAATCAAATGATCAAATATGAAAAAAGGAGACAGCAAAACTTGTTTTCCAGTTCCATGGGGTACCACAAAGTTCTTGCTCTGCACAGTCCCTTGCTTCTTTCTGCAATTCCCTGTCCATAGAATGGAGAGGATTTTAACATTCCTTCTTTTCCCCTGATGTTGTATCTATATCAGCTGGAAACGCTTTGTAAAAAGGATCATTTCTCACTTTGCGTTATGAAGCTCCAAACAGAAGGAATCCCTAAATTCCATTTGCAGGAACTTCTGCAACACAATCATGTGACAGTAAGAGAAAGAAATGAGCACTTGACAGCTCCAGGTTCTGCAGATTTTCCTTTATCTGCAATAGAAACTCCTAAAATGAAATCTGAAACAAGTATTTACTACCCATCAGAATCACAGTTCTTCTATGCGGTGCCGGAACGGTAGTCTTTCTACTGCACTATGCTGCAAGAACCTACTATTGGGCTATTCTGACTTCACTAAAACCAGAGTAATTTTTACCAACGTCCAGTCAACAGAAAGCGGCAACGTGCTGCAGCTGTTTCCTTATAGACTAGGAAAAAGGTAAGTAGCATAGGTTTTCCTGCAGGAACACGGAGAGGTAATGTGTTAGACTGCATGAAGCGCTGGCCAATATTCACCCGAGTTCGGAGCAGAGCCAGTCATTTGGAACAGCCTCTCCTCAAACTCAGGAAATGAGTTCCATTGGATAAGTCTAATGGAAGATCTGTTTTTTTGTTCCTAGCTCCTACCTGTTGCCTCTATGAACTCTGGCAAATCACTTTGCTATTTTAAATCCCAAATCTTTGCACAGGCAAATCAATACAAAACAATACCCACTTCCAACAGAGCTTACAGAGAGCTAGAGATGAAAACTGCAGTACGTACAAAAGTACTACAATAATCTTCTTTTCTTTTTTCTGCCACGCAGTTGACTATATTGCACTTTTCTAGCTCAGGTGAGCAGCCTCTTAACCTCCCGACAGTATGTTCAGAAAGACTACTGCCCTCCTCACCTCTAGTAAGGTGAAATTTGTCTGTTAGGTGCCAAAGCAGACCCCTGTTTTGCTATACCATTTCCAGAACATAAATCATAATGAATAGCACTGCTGCAGGCTTTTAGGTATAATATGCAAGGTATTCTGTCTGGGGTAGGCGCTACCAAGTGTCTCTCCCCCAACGAATAAAGTTGAGCAAAGAACTCAGGTAGGGAATACAAATTACCTGTATAACCTGAGCAGCAAGTTCGGGTGTCCCGTGCTTCAAGTCGTGTCCATTGATGGCAAGTACTCGGTCATTGCTGCAGAGCCTGCCATCTTGAGCAGCCAATCCCCCTTCCAAAAGGTCAAGAATAAAAACTCCAGGCTCATCTGTCCTGCGTACGAGTTTAATGCCAAGCTGCTCACTGGAGTCACGCTTGTGCAGCGTCACTTGAAAGCTGTCCTCCCGCAAGGAGCTGGTGTTCTCCGCATGATTGTGTGTGCGACTCCCAAATCGCCTCTCTCTGAGTACAGTGAGATGCAGCACTGTGCAGGGCTGGGAAAGAACAGCTCGAGCATGGTTGTGTGATACATTGCTGATGTCAAAGCTATTGACCTGCAAAACAAACCAAAATAAAAAATCAGAATAACATCCATTTGTGTTTAATTGGTCCTGGCTATGGAAATAAACCCTCCCAAACTAAACTCACTGCAAAATCTCACTGCAAATCTCAAAAAACCCTACTTCGGAGCAACCTACCTATCTGATTGTGCTGGGCCCCCTCTCTCTTCCTTCCAGCCTTTGCTGCAAACTCACTCTGCTGCTCAAGCTACGAGCCTATTTCCAACAAAGGTGATAACTCCTCTCTAACAGTCAACACCCTCCATCATTGCATTCCATCATGCCTTTTGCTCTCCCAGCCTCCAACATTTGTGCTTAGATCTTTACACTGGGTGATCTTTAGGGCAAGAACTTCTTCTGTGCGCTTTCAGTGTCAAGCACGTTATCGCTTCAAATTATAAAATAACAGCTGTAAAAAGAAGACATCCAAATCTCTGAGGAAAGCTAACATCTAACAAAATGCAGTACTTCCACGATGGGAAAATTAAAAATAAGTTGAAATCCAAAACAATTCAATTTGTTAAGACAGAAGAAATGGTTTTACTAGCTCTGAAATCTCAGTGTGAACTTAACAGTTCTTCCACTGACTTGGTTAAGGTCAGGGTTTCAGATTCACAGCATGCATCCCTCATAATTAAATTGTAAATGAAAAACAGATCAAGGCCCTCCTGTGCTATAAACAAGAATTCTGTTTGCTACGTGGCCCACTGACACAGAGATCAATTATCTTCAGTCATTTCTTGCACTATAGATTTGCCATAAAAATTGACAGAGTTATGAGATTTGGGAGAAAATGGGAATACCACAGAAAAACAATTCACAAAAGCAATATTTGCTTGTTTTGCAAAAAGTAAAAGGTTCAAAACTAATCTTGAAACTTCATCCTTACATACACCATCGTGACTTGATAGAAAAGAGCCTCGCCGTGCCCATAATTTTCAGTAGAGGAAAACTAATACAAAACAGACTATACTGACTGATTTATTTAAGCCTTTTAATGCTCCCCCATTTGCAATCTAAGTAAAAATATAAATTTGCAACTTCCCACAATATAATAGCAACATTACTATTAAAAAAAAAAAAAAAATCCTGGGAACAGAAAAGACCCAGAAATGTACGTATAACAGCAGTCACATTTACATCACGCACCCGAGCTGAGGAGCTCTGAGGGGCGAACTTCGAACGATTTAGCTGCGGTGGTTCTGGCACCACAAAGGTGTAGCTGTACCTGCCTGTGCCCTACCCCTGCGAGGGGCTTCCCCTCCAGCAGTAACACGGGAGGTACTTCTCTGCTCAGCCACCTCCATTTTGCAGCCTGATACTTAGTGCAAACGCGCTGCCTGCGGCAGCCCAGAAGCTCATACAGCAAACTGGGGCAGCAAAGGCGCAGATAGGTCCTTTTCTCCTACTGCTCCTAGCCAAGCAGCAACCTTGAGCTGAGAGAAAGGATGCTCAGCTGGAAGGAACAGCGCTGAGAAGCGCCACCACGGAAACCCGCTACGGTTCATCTGTCAGAGCCGTCAAATTAAATTTAGTTTTATTTTTAGCTATCACTAGCTAAAGTAAATGCATAAAACATGGACGCATTCAAAGGGCGTAAAAGAATATATGCACTGAAACTTAATTTTTCATTCCACAATACAGTACTTATTTTCCGAATATAACAACCTGGACATCCCTTGTAAAAACACGTTCTCATTAGAACACATTTTACACGAACTACAGTCACAGTCCAGTACAAAAAAAAAAAAGGCATAATTCGTTAGAGCACTTTAAAAATGTTGGGCACCTATCTATGTGTTTGTACTTGACACCCCGTTACAACATGCACTTTTATGTAACAGTTATTAAATGCTGTTCCCTTAGATCTTGAAGGAATAACACTTCTTGTGTGACTGGGCAAAAAAAGGCTAAGTTCCACCTCTCTGTTCTCTCTGGCTTTCTTTTAGTCCTTTGCTGCTCATAAAAGCCTTTGAAGACACGAGCAAAGTGTGAACACCTAACTACGTTTAACTCCGTACTCAATTACCGTCTGCAGAGACCAAGCCTGGTAATGTTAATGCAAGAGCTCAGCGTCTGCCCAGGGAAATGCAAAGCAATAAAGATGCTGCAACTTCCCAAAAGTTGGGTTTTGCCTCCCGCACCTCTTCCTCCTCATGACAAAAGGACTCTAAGGAACACTCTCCTGGAATCCCACCGCCTCAGTCTTAGCTCCTGGACAGGGAAACACTATCTGCAGCTTATAAATCCTATTTATAGTCACTTTATAGTCACTTATGGCTTTGGAAACTATAATTGACACCTGCCCAAACAGCAATAATTTACAAAGTTTCAGTGACAAGCTCCCTATTCTGGCAAGTAATGAGAGTCCTCGAGTACTGAAATAAATTAGGTAGCATTCAATCAGTGCCTGCAATTGCTTGTAAGAAGACAACATTTTGGAAAATTCTTGGGTTTCTCTCTTTCCAGTTGCTCTCATAACACTCAAAGACAGCAAAATGTTTCTCAAAAGAGACTATTTTTCTGGAGTGCAAACTAGTTTTATTCCAAGGGTAATTAAAATATTTAAGCTACTTCCATCTGCTGGATATAAAAAACAGTGAAATAGAAAAAGACTGCTACTACTGTTGGACTGATCTTACGCTAACAGATCAAAAGCAAACATTCGTATTGAAGCTGTTTTGAAATGATGATAATGTATTTGTTGCAGCTGGAATGATCCAAAAATAGAAAAAAGGTGGAGAGGATTGTCTTGTCATACGTAGAATTCAGGTACTTTCTTAGGAACACTGTAAATAACTCCTCCTCCCAAACCAAAAGTAAAAACTTCTGAAATTAACAGAACTACAGTTTCTAACATTATCTTTGGCTTGTTACTTAAAATTGTAACAAAAATACAGACTCTATCATAATCAACTTACATTTTGTTTATTTAAATTTGGGAAAAAAAATAATTAGAGCAGCCTGCTTCAAATTATGCCAGTGAAGAATATCACAGACTCTCTCTCTTACAAATGCTAAAAGGTGCAGATCAACTACATAGCCTATTGGAAGGCAACATTGAAGCCAGATTAAAATAACAATCGAGATAAAGTCAATCTTACGGCCTGCAAGTGCTTTTTACATGGGACAAATTACGCCAATTTGGTAAGCAAAAGTAAACTTTGTTTTCTTTAGAAAGCATCCACAAAGTTGAAACAAAGACCATGCCCCACAACACTTAAAAACAGGAAAATAAACTCAGGTTTTTAAAATGGTTAATAGATGCTAAGGCAGAAAAGTAATTCTAGGAGGCTGATCCCATGAACAACATAAAGCGTCACAGGCAAAAGAATTACAGTCGCAGACTCTACTCTGAATATTAATTTGCCTTCCAACTGGTAATTGCAAAGCTACCATTTACACAACATACTCTGACAAGGAAATCTCCCATTTCATTTAACTGGCAGTTCTGCGACAACCAAATGCAATATAAGCAGAGAGAATATGTAATTAGATTCCATACTTGAAGTATTTGGTCTCCAGCAAGCAGTCTTCCATCTCTGGCAATGATCCCATCTCGATAAACCTCTTGAATAACAATGTTGATCAAAGGCGTTTCATTGCCACCCACTATGCTAATTCCTAATTCAATATAAGGATTGGACCGATGAATTTCAATAGTAGTGATCTCTCCTTCAGGCAAGGTAGCTGGCTGTTGATTTGCTGCCAATTATTTTTTAAAAAAGATGATTAATCATCCTTCATACCTCATTCATTTTCAACAAAGCAAATCACCAAAGGACAATATAGGCACACCACATGACAATGGTTTAACAACAAACTAAACAAATGCATTTGGATTAGTTCCACTGTTCGCTGAAACACTTAGTTGATTAGAAATAGCATTATGACAACTTAGTAGTATCCATACTTCCCGAAATGAGATTTTTTGCATTTGAAAAGGATATTCTGAACCCTCTGGATCCTGCCCTTAATAACAAATTTCATACACTTCATTTCCAATCCAATCACTTGGGTATTCAGATTTAATTATACATGAAAATAGTGACAGTAAAAATTCATTTCGGGGTTTACCCCATAGCGCATGAATTTGTCATGCCTATTCCTTAGCTGGTCACACAACTACATTAACAGTTGCCATTGAGTTAACAAGTCGAGGGAAGGAACGAGCCCATTTCTGAAGCAAACATGGAGACAACCAAAGAGGAAAAAGCGGGGTGCTAATGGACGGCAAACACACAGGAAAAGGAAGGGGAAAAGACCACCTTCCTCTGTGGTAAGGCTCAGTGCTTCCTCTCTAAAATCCCAGATGCTAGAGACGTTACTGTTAGTTCGATACAGGCGGATGCAGGAGTTACTCAGCTGCCTTTTTGTTCGAACAGGACAATATTCCATGTGTGGGAAGCCTGCTCCTCCGGGGGGGTGGGGGGGGAATGGAAGGGGAAGAGGGGAAAACAAATCTTATCTTAGAAAACAAGTTTTGTAATTTTATAGAAAACAAACTGCTTCAGTCTAGCCTCTAGGCCACTGCTTCCAGCAGATTAACACAAACTATTATACTAGCATGTGTTAGGATCCAGTACCGTGATACCTATGGGGTACACATATCCAGACAGTTTCCTCCTAACTGTAATTTTAGCCCAGTTCTGTACTTGCACATAACAAAGATCCACAATATTTCCCCAGGAATTTAAACAGGAAGAGCAAAAATTAAAGATGTGTGTTCTTTAATGGTTTGACAAGCTGCAACACCATAAATGTTTCTATGCTTGACAAAAGGCAACTGGAAGAAGGTTTTAGAAGACAAACGATGACATACTGTCTGCTACTGTGTTCTCCTCAAAAGTGGGATTGTCAATGCTGGGCTCATCTGCCCACGCAGGAAGGGCAGGCGACGTGAAGCTCTGCTCCGCAGGCACTGTTCCCTGATCCACATCTGGAGATAAACGGCTGGGCTGCTCCGTCCCACCGGGACCAGCCTCGCTCTCAGTTTCTGGCTGCAGCTTGCTAGTTTTCCTTCTCTCCAGAGCAACCCTCCGATGAGAAGCCCCGGGACACCTGCGAAGAAAACATTTATACCGTGCTTCAAGTATGCAGGAACACATGCAGCACAAAAAGTCAAGAGCCTTCCATGAATCAAAATCAGTTTTCTTCAAAGACATGACTTTAAACTAGTCATAACATATTTTAGAACCAAATGGCTTTTAAGGCCAAAATACGTTTCAGTGGACAGAACCCAAAAACAATACTGCCTTCTGCACAACAGCTCTACTATGTTGCTTTCTGGCCATGAAGTGGACGTGCTCTAACACATTCTGCATGTGGGCTTATTTCCTTATATATATTCCAGTTTTTGGAACAAACATACAGATTGAATAGGGTTGGCATAAAGTTCCACAGAAGAGGTACCCTGTTCAAAGATGCATTTGGAGACCCCCGAAGCAACCTCCCTTGACAGGAAGGAAGGAGAGATGAAAATTTTACCTACGTTGTGATCTAAGTATTAAAATATTGGAAAAGATTACACTTGTCTAGGAGTCTGTATGAAAAGGAGAACCTAAGTAACAGCTCTGCCCATGATGTCCTTTTTAAGCAACAGAGGGTTTTTCAATCTCCTCGCTCCATAATTTGCTTCCTGACTTAACACGGCAGGTGCAATTTTTTGCTCTCCCTTAAGTAAGTGTCCCATCACCACCTTGCACTTTGCACTGTAAACTCATTTTCATGAGATTCCATTATTCTTAACACAATGATTTTTTGCTTATGCTTAAAATCCTACAATAGCATACTGCAAAGAAGGGCTGCAAATTCACAGAAAGGCTTCATTTATCCAACGGTTTTACATTTACTTGTAGATAATTGGATACAGATATCAATCTTGCAACTGCCTGTGTGATGCAGTTTTGCCAACTTCTGATATTGCAAGCCTTGCAGTATTTGATGCCTGCCTTAAAGCTCCTGCTTTTGGAGCTGCTGACCACATAAAAGATGTTAGTATTGTAGCAGTGTCAGAAAAAAGGAACTGTGTTCTTGAAAGGGCTCCCTTTTTGGGAACTTGACAGATTGGTATAACAACAGTAGGAATGATTCATTTTCACAACAGCAGAAGAAATCTGTTAACAGAATAAAAGGCTTCAAAAGTCTAACAACGTCCTAAGTTCTTGAACTGGAACGTTTTGAGAAAAAAATCGCAATGCTGCTTTGGTATTCCGTAAGAGCATATGATAGTTATATGGTCAGACTGTTTTGACATGAAGGATTTGGATGACATTTTAATACAATTTTCTCTAAAGAATTTTGCTAAAAACACCTACGTAGCCATTGTGACTCCAGCAGTGTTAAACATACATGTACATCTCACTATATATATCTCATTTAATGTATGTTTAAAAGAATGGCATAAGGAAACCCAAATATGCTGTAAAACATACATGAATATATAAATCAGAGATGGTTCACATTATAATGACATGTTTAAAGAAACATTTCTCGGAGCTTTCTCCAAGATGACACGTTTTAAATCTGCTGGTCATCTTGTTCTTCAAAGAACATGTAGGCATGAAAACAAAAAAATCACTTGAAAGGTGTTTCTTCGTGAAAACTTTTCTTGGAGTTTAATGTAGAAACACAACTATATTTCTTGGTTTGCTCAGTTAATATTTATTACATAAAATTAGTGGCTTAGTGGGGCTGCCCGGAGTCAAACCCAACAAGCAAAAAAAAAAAAAAAAAAAATTTAGAAATCAGACTAGTCTCGCGTTACTTTGGCAGCCCAGCCAGAGAGACACATGGTTACAGGTGAAACGCAGTGGGAACTGTTTCTTGTTGACCCTTACCCAAGGCAAACCGGAAGACAAGAATCCCAAAAGGCCAGCGAAAGAAAAGAGGCAACTCCTTCCCCCAGATGCAATTTCTAAAATGTCATTATTTTAACTTGACACATCAAGCCTGCCTCTCCTCCCAGGTCTTAGCATTGGCAACAGAAAAACGGACACTCTCCAGCAACGTCACTGCTCAAGCACCACGGCACAGGGCAAGCGCTCCTGAAGGAGGAAGCATCTTCTTACCGGGAGCTCTGACAAACGTGCTTTCCCCCACGGAGCTGCCACAGCTCAGCGAGCTGCACATCTCTGCTGCCCCTGAACTGCCCTGCCACAGGAACGGGGATTTTCACCCCCGAGGTGAATGAATAGCTCTAAACTGGCAGTGTCAGACTACCACGGTCGAACCCCGTGGTTTGCATGTCAGCGTCTGGCTTTACGGCACTACTTCTACAAACTGGACGCTTCCCTGTAAGTCTTCTAACAAAACACCGCGCTGCTGGCTTTTTACCCAACCTGTTCACAAAGTCTGTGGACCACAAAGCAGCTGGTGCAGACGGCAAAGCACACCTGAGAAGCTTGGGCCTTTTCAACTGTATCAAAACAGGACTGAACAAAATCTGTACTTGCAAGTGTCCTATTTCTGTCAAAGCCTTCCAAACCACAGTCGGGTCGCTCCCCCCATCCCAACTTGTACTTTCCTCCATCATTTTTTGGCAGCTGATTAAAGCCTTCACACAAAATATAAATAGACTGGAGGTTTATTTTCACCAAAGAGATTTAATTATCATTTCAAAGGCTAATATCAAGAAATGTAAACAACATCCTGGGCACACCTACTCAGCTCAATGGAAGCCTTTTTATGCAACACCCAGGAAGACAAACCGATGAAAAAAAGCTAATGCTGGTGACAGAAATCCCTTCTACTCCAAATTAACCAGTCATTACAACAGACTTAGACTTTCAGCCTGACAGAACAGAACTGCACTGCCAGGCAAGTGCCCGTCTGGTGGAGACAGTACTTCATGGGATGCCAATTCTTCGGTCTTTACACATTAAACAAGCAGCAAAAGCCAGGACTGGTGCTCAAGTACATTTATAAGAACAATTTTCATTTCCACTTGCAACATAAAAAGATTTTTCTATTGATAGGAGGAATGTATTATTCATAACCAGAACATACATCAGTTGTAACAGTTAACAAACGCCAGTAAATCTCTAGAGGTACGCACCTTTACTAACACTGCTTTTGCCAAATATTTGGGATAGAGACCACTTCGGACAGAATCCTGCTACAAGTTGTGTACACAGATGGACACCTGAGGCTCCAACCTACCATCAAAGATTCTTTTGTAAGGGTAGAGGAACCCATCCTCAAGCAAAAACTGTACAAAGAGGGGCCTGAGGCTGAAGTGTATTTTACAGCAACGGTACTTCATAGCTACCTACAACGCCAGAATTCCTCAGATATGGGTCAGAAGAATGAAAAGCATTTTTAAAAAACATTTCCAGCAATTATTTCATTTCTTTCATGATCTAGATGCCAGAAAGAACAGAAATACTGGAACAACCAACTAAAGCAACCGAAAGATATCGTGTATCAGGAAACTTGAAGGGCAATCGTTCTTGGGATGTAAAATGAGCTTCTACTTCTATCTACTGACTCCCTCCTCTCTTCTGCATCAGGACTGATTTTTCCGCAATTCTGGATGTTGACAAAAGATAGCTTTTACCTTTGGCTTCTCTTAATCCACATGAAATGGAGAAGAAAAGTTTTTGAAAAGGTTTCTTTCTTTTTTTTTTTGAGGGACAAGGGAGTTTGCCCAGTCAAGTCTGCTGGGTTTCTCATTTAAAAGCTGTCTCCTTGGAAGGCTAGCAGTAATCTCCCTCTGCAGATAAAAAGAGCTTTCATACAAAATTAAGATGTAGTTTACAGTGTATTCCAAGGGATAACAGTAGGGGCTTGAAAAACACATTTGCTCACTGACTCCTGAAAAGAAAGATTTCATTGTAACTTATGCCATGAGCGTCTGCACAGTCTAGAGGTTCGATAAAAGCAAACACACGAAATAGCTTCAAAATAGTTGCACTAAATCGTTTCCCAAGTATAAACTGAATTTAAACAAAGACTGCAGAGATGCAGCTGAAATGCCTTTGCTATTGCTCATAAAACTTTGCCAGCAAAGTGACCTTAAAGAGCAATTCTGGCAAGTTTTACAGCTACAAGTCAGAGTAAAACATGCTGCTACTTTAGAAAGCTAAGAGCTT